CCATGGGTTTCTCTATAAGTTCAATACAGGCTTGTAAATCAAGACCGAAATCGATAAAAGTCCACTGAATTCCTTCGCGTTCATACTCCTCCTGTTCCAACACAAACATGTGGTGGTTAAAGAACTGTTGTAGTTTCTCATTTACAAAGTTGATCCACAGTTGTTCGAATGAATTAAACTGAAAAAAAACGGACTTGTGAACAGACCTCGATGTCAAAATTAAATTTATGTGTATTGAAATATTTGTAACTTCATTTGGTGATGCTTACACCCAATCTGGAAATGATTGACAAACTGCCAAGGGAAAAGTTTTCATCAAGAAATTTATTGCATTGTCCCAGAAATATTGTTTGTCTCTTATATTTAGGACTTAAAAGTTTTTCAACACTTTTTTTGAACAAAATGAGAAATTCAAATTAACTTACATCGAAAATTTCGAATCCAGCAATATCCAAAACTCCAATGAAGTAATCACGTGAGGTACCTTTCTGATCCAGAGTCTTATTACATTTGTTGACAAGCCATTTGAAAATCCTGGCATAGAGTCCCTTTGCCATTGCACCAACAGCCCAAGTTACCTGTTCCACATTCTGTCCCTTACTGACCCATTCCGTGCCAACTTTGACACGTGGCTTAGTGAGGGCTTTCAGGAATTCTTCTGTGTCACTTCCAAACATGCTAGCAGCTTTCTCAGCTTCGTCAGTGCCATCTGGTTCTGCTTGCTCTTCACGTGGCCGTTGTTTGAATTTCATGCAACCCATGTGCATGATGGCTGAAACCAGACGGTAGCAGTTCATTTTCTCTTCCGGTGTGAAATTGAGGATATCAAAGGCTTCATCTGTCAGCTGGTGCTCTTCTTTATCATTAATACCATCGATGGTTAATTCAGCTTGTGCCACAAAGTAGTAAGCTTTAAGCGGCAGATCCAGCTGAAGATCTTTCTTGAGAGTTGGATTAAAATCGGAAAAGATCTGATAGAAAATATGATAGCATCGCTCTCCAGGAGCTTGACGAATCACACGAGATTTCTCCAGCAAATCTGAAATGCTCATATGCAAATTATTAGGTTTTTGCCTGATGGAGCAAATTCAGAAACTTAGAGCACTGGTCATCTACCCATACTTGATACTAGTTTTAAATTGTATGAACAGATAATAAAACCTTTTTCATTGTGTGTGAATAAACTTACAATGCTCAATATCACAAGAAGCAACTTTTCCTTGTTTTGAAAAATGAATACGAATGAATTTGCCAAATCGCGATGAGTTATTGTTACGTACAGTCTTTGCATTACCAAACGCTTCCAAAACTGGATTTGTCTGCACGATCTGATCTTCCAGAGTGACTTTTTTCTCACCCTGGTTTTTATTCTGTGATGCACCAACCACTGCGAAATATGCAATAACCTGAAAATGTACGAAGCCAATTCTGTAATTGTTTCCGAATATTTGAAATTTAATATTGCTTTAAATATTAATCAAGTAGTCAAAGACTTTTTTTTGTTTCTGTCATTGTTCAGTGGAAGCAGTAATAATTTACATAATTGCTTTGAGAAAATTTTCTTTCAAATTTTAGACAGTAGTAGGGTAGTATGGTCTGAGCATCTGAGCAGTTACGGATTTGATAAATAATCCCAGCTCATGATTAGAACTTGTTGTTCAGTGAAAGTGGTGATAATGAGCACAATTTATGAAATTCTGTTTCCATTCTAGTTTGATAACAATTGCAGCTTGTTACTTTTTTGGTATTTTCCGTTTTGCCAGCACCAGATTCGCCAGTAATTAGCATTGACTGATTCTCGTGATCCACAAGCATGTTTCGGTATGCTTCATCTGACACAGCAAACAAATGTGGTGGCATTTCCGTTCGTCTTTTTCCCATGTACATTTTTGCAACCGAATCAGTGTAAATTGGAAGACGCTTGTAAGGATTGATCACGACGCAAAATAAACCAGAATAAGTCTGAAATTTTGGCATTCCCATCCAGTGCTTAATGCAAAGCAGTTAAAGGAGGGAAGGTATGTATGTTTAAAAATGGATCATTGAATGGTTTTTTAGTAAACTATATTATCAGAAGAAATCTCACATAGATAAGCATTGAGGAATATCGTGCTCGAAGGTTGTACAATACAGATGCGTCATTCAGAAATGTCAAATTTGACATGTCCTCTGTTTTTTCGAATTTTGGCGGATTCATTTCTTGCAGCATATCCTTCTTTATTGTTACCTAAAACACATTTCATAGGGAATGTTTAGCAATATTTCGTATTTAAGTAACTGCTGTCTGAAAACAGTGGTACCCTTCCTCTGCCACTTTTCGCGTGTATTTATTCATGTAAACAGACCTCATTACCACGAGCAGAAACCACGGTGACATTGTCGCCCTTCGTACTTGTTATTTCGGCAGCAATATATCCTTCTTCAGCATCTGGGATCCAGCAATTCTTTTTCGAATCAAATGGTCGTGACTGTTCCTTCAAACAATGATCATTTTTGCTTAATAAAAAAACGAAAAATTTTCGAATCCTTTTTTTCTGATTATCATTTTCAATCATTTCTACTTTTCGAAATACATTTTTCGATCTGCTAATTTCTGATTTTCCAAGTGTCACATAATATTAAATAGGTAATCAAGCTCAGGAGTTCCACATTATAGCAATAAATGAGCGGATAATCCAAACGTAGGAATAATTGCAGGCCGAAGTTCATTTTAGAAAATGTGCTCAAACTTCGAGAAAAAAGTATTCATAATCAAATTGCAGGAAAAATTTGGTACTTACAGCAGCCATCTGCTCGCGAGTCTGTCGCAAGTACTGCCAGCCTGGATCTTTTTCATTTTCACTTTCGATTTTAGACATGCCGAAAGAATCGTCTGCTTCAAATAAATGCTCAGTTTCAATAAATTTAGGCTTTATGTTATTTTGTTTTTTTCCGCAGAAAAGTGAGAAACCGAATAAAAAACACTATGGAGCATGAGCACAGAAAACTTAACAAATTTGAATCATAATAAAACATTTCACAACGGATTACTCCTTAACAGGAGCACAAAAATAAAATTTACAAGTACTTCTCGGATTACAACGTAGTTCAAGCAGACACAATGATATCTTTTGCAATGGAAGTCTTCAGGAGTGTCCAGGAAAAAGTTTTTCTGCTGCTGCTTGGAAAAATCCATGGCTTTGAAGATAAGAGTAAGCACATATGAAGTTATATTTGAAAATTTGATTATAATCGCACCTACATTAATAGAAAGAAATATCAAGATCTGGAAAAGTTCAAAACTTATTTCATACAAATCAAGAAAATTGATTGAGATATAGGATAAATATGAGGTCATTATGGTGATTACATAAGGAGAAAATTAACTGCCGGTGAGTACACTCCATAATCATTTACCATAATGGTGCTTTATATACAAAATTAACCAACAACTACCTTGATTTCTCGAACTCATTTTATCAGATACTAAAACACCACAAACCTTTTATTTCAAGGTGCGTCCTACTTTTAATCTATTTTGTAAACTCGCCTTCTTTTAAAACACGACACATTAAATATAGTGCACGATTTTGTAGAGAAAAGAAGGCTTAAATTAATAGATCAATGTAAGAAAAAAGATTTAACTACACATGACGTTTGTTACCAACACCGTGGAGCTGTAGTGATGTGGAATGTGATAATAAGGCAACTTGCCATCCTCTTGAACCAAGCGTTTAGCAATGACTGAGGTTCTAGGAAATAATAATGAATTTTTGAAGGGTTAATGCAATAAAGCATGAAGAGGAAAGGAGGAGTGATAGGAAGGGTAGTTTTACAGGTTTGTTTTAGTGTTAGCTGCACAAAACTCGATATGTATGCCATGGAGTGAAGAAACCTTAAAATAGCCGACTGAAAAGCTCGAGAAAGAGAGTCGGAATCCACTCGGTCTGTATTCTCTTGACATTTTCAACAGTTTTCGGCAGTAGTAATAGCATCAGCAGCAACAACAGCAGCAGCAGAACTGGATAGGTAAGCATTACTTTAAGAATTCTTTACAACGTATTCATCTAAACTTCCCCAGCTTGTTAGCTAAGATGTGTTAACAGCAGGGAGTGAAGAGCAAACGGAAGATTGAGGAAGAAGTTGCAGAAGTACCCTAAAGGTGGGATAGAGGAAAAGAAGAAGGGACAAGAGTTCTCGATATGTTGACATGAACAACTGCCACAACACAAACACTCGGCCACAGCTTTGAGCTCCTGAATTCAAAAACTGATTTTTTACCAACACATCTTCCAGAAACATACACCGAAAGCTTTAACAACAATGCAATACGAAATGAATTCCACATTTAACTTGCATGAAACAACGTTAAAAAATCGGTACACCTTTGCACTGGAAAAAAAATTCAGTTGTTCCTTGATTCGTTTTCTGTATCTCCAAATAGCACTTCTCGATTCCTCAGTATTGTGAACGACAATATTCATCTATGCGCACTTGTTTTGCTTTCAGCGAAAACTGCGGGGAATTTTTTCTTTCTCTCGTTCTTTTCTGGTCTGAGGTAACAGACTACTATGAACTGTTAGCAAATTAAATAGAACCACTTATTGGCATCCTGAAACTTTACCCCTTTCCCGTTTCCCATGCATGCTCGTATCCGGCAGTTACATGTCTTCAACGGTGACTACTTGTGGAGAATGATCAGGTAGAATTATTTTTTTTAATAATATTGCTGGCATGTGATGTTACTTTGTAATTAAAATTCTTGCTTCTTAAAACGTCATAATTATGGAAATTCAAATTGACTGATATTAATCTTACAAAAGTAATCCATTGTTTTTCCAAGCTCTCTATTTTTTTGAACGATGAAAATATTCATATACAACATAATGCACAATTCATCATTCACCAGTCATCTTAAATTCCCAAATACCGTTACACAGGCATAGGATTTCAGATCATGGCGGTAGCAATTATTCAGAAGATTTACTTGAAGTGAGTAAGAGCCCGGACCCAAGCGCAAAATTCATGCACCCATATCACTGATAGTAACCGCGATTAGTGGCCATTTGAGGGATTCGATCCCACTCTTCAAATACACCCCCCGCACTCCTCGCGTCGAGTAACTTCCTGATGCTTGACCTCGTCTATATCCTATAACAATCATCATCCAGCTCTCTCAAGCACCATTTCGCTAATACCACCTGTCTGTTACCTCTCCATAAGTCGTGCTCCTTGTCATCTTCTTTGTTTGCCCGGCATCATGTCGGAAGTGGACCTGGTTCTGGTTCGTGGTACTGCTGGAACTTATATATGTTAAACGTTGATGGGGTTTGCGTGTTGTTGTGAAGGAGAAGGAAGGAGGAGGTTTCATGGCTGACATATACCTTTAATTTAACTAATGAGACAAGTCTTCCCTAAAGATTGTCCAAAATTTATTTGTTGTCTGCAGGATTTATTTTTTTTCTCTTGGAATTTGCACATAGATCTTGACGTAAATGAGCGAACTTTTGACACCGATTATTTTACTTTTGCTGTGCTACTATAGGTAATCTTCGTGGTTGTTGTTTTACTAGTAATACTGATATTCTGCTAATGACATTGTTGGATTAGAGCAGTAAGCTGACTTCGCTTACCGACATTCCGGACGTAAACAACATGAATCTTCATCCAAAATTGTTAATAACGACCTATGTTAATATTATAGCTTTGTTAGTTGTAATAGTAGTTTGTAACGTAAATTTTGAGATTTCAGGCCTCTGGACAAGTAGAGTTCTCTTCCCATCCATCTTTATGAACGGTAATGTATTTGTTCTTTTGACATTTGCAAATAGGCTTTGATGAGATAGTTTAAACGTCGAAAATCTCTTCGAGAAAGCCGTTTATCAATACGTACAGCACAAAGTTGAGTAGCCATCGCGAGATATGCTTTTTTGGATCGAATAACTGGATAAATCTTTGAGGTTAATGTGTGAGGCACTTTAAAATTGTGTTTAAAGTGTTGGTTTTAGATTGGAAAGCAGACCTCTGGAATTGTAAAAAAAATGTATGTATATATCGAAATATTTATAGCATATTCGTTTGACGGCGCTGTGATTGTCAGTTTGCTTTTAATTTGCACTTGCGCTTATCTGAAAAGAGTGCCCCGCATTAATTCGTGGTTCCTTAGTGAGAAGAAAGGATTCTTTGGTATATTTTATAAAGTAAGTGCTCCTTGATTTTACTCATTCCTTTTTAGAGTAATGTCTATTTTTTTGCTTCATTTTAGATTATGTGGGTCATTTAATAGATCGTCTAGTCTTTTAATAGACTGTTAACTTGAAGGGTGAATTTTTTCATCATTGTTGATTGCCATGAAAAGTTACTCCTTGTTCTGAAATTCCGTAGTTTTCCGCAACAATTTTTTATGAAATTTTAAATGAGGTATTGTTACCCAATAGATTAACAAATTATAGTGTAGGCTTGGACAAATATTGGTTGATGCACCTCATTCCAGAAACACTTGCAGGCAGCAGTTATCGGAATTCGTTTGCACTTCATAGTTTCTCTTACATGTTTGTTCTGTGCTGGATATATTTTGTTTGCCAGATAACGCTAAATTTTGTCCGAGCAACGCTTCTCAAGATCTTCGGAAAGGTTTGTTAATAAAGTTATTTTAATAAACACATTATGTTAATAGTTTTTTGAACAAAAATAGATAAAAGCTCCAGTATGGTCATTCCACAGTTTTGTTCAAAGCAATATCGAGAAAGTAAAACATTTCTGTTTACGCTCTTTGATGACTTTACTGGTCTTCCATGACAGAAAAGTATTTTCCAAAAATATTATGTCAAACAATTGAATATAGAAGAAGATTTATGTTACTTCTTTTGTGTAAAGATCTGTTTTAAGCAGTGTGTTCATAATCGCATCAACTATTTTTGAATGTCCTTTCTGATATTTCCTGCTGTACTCAAGGAAAAATTTTCAGTGCTGATGCAGAACCATAGGGGATTATGAGGTGATATAGTTATCTATATGGTGGTCAGTTGTTGTGGGATAAATTGTAAACATTTCCCGCAACTTTGAGATGACGCGTAATGATGACTGTCAAATGAGCTGAAAAAAAAGTGTATTTTAATAATGTCACACTTTGGGTCTTGAAGTAATTGAGTGATTTAGAAATACACAGATGAGGAAAATTTCTTATGCATGAACATCTTAAGATTTCCATGGCAGATGTTTTGACTTAAGATAACTGTTTATTTGAAGTTAGCAGTTGAAGTTCTAGAGATTAATGGCATTTATTTAATTCACGATTCAATTTATGTGCACATCGACTAAGTGATGTTAAACGCAGAGTGTTATTGTTGTGACAATAATTTTTATTCAGATATCTCTCCTTCAGTGCCAGATTTCCAAAGTGCCTTCTCTATAATCGTTATTTGTGACTGTTTGACGTACTGGATCATTTCAAGTTTTGTAAAATGTATTTTTTGTGTGATAACGATTCTTAACATAGTATGTGTACAGTTTAAGGATATTGGCAATTGTAAAGTGGTAAAAACGAATAAAAATTTATGAATAAAAAATGAAATCAAATAAAATGACTAGTTGGGCACTTCCTGATTCAGTAGATTATGCGGAAATGTACTTGGGCCGCTGTCGTGGTAATAAGATGGGATATGAGTGAAATTCGTTTTTCAGTACTGAAAGAAGTTCCGAAGAAATTTACACTTCGTCAAACTGATGGTAAAAATAATGGATGTTAGACAAAGATGGAAAAGTCAGTAATTTATTCTGGCTTATCAGTCAGAAGGTTGCATGTGCAGAGTTCGATGCTTACGAGGAATTGAATGCACTGAGATGTTGAAGGTTCTCATTCTCTTTTCTAGGATTGTAGGTAGTTCTATATTTTGTTTCAAAATGCCGACTTTAAATTGTTGGATTAGTATAATAGTGATTTTGGTATATTTTGCCTGCGAAATGTATAGAGATTTAATAATATGGGTGGATATTTGAGTTGGAGGTAATAGAACAGTCGAAAGTTCATTTGTCGATTTTATGTGAAAGTAATTTCTATTTTGAAGGGCGCTTTCCGCATCGTACTTTCTTTTCATGCATGACTATAAACCCGGAATCTTTCCTGAATCTCTCTTAAAACTGGATGATATTTTTCAAGAAACTTGTCTGTTCCAAATCTGGAATAATCCTTTAGAAAATTCCGGGACTCCCAAGATGGCTGTCTGAAAACCCATTAATAAAGATTGACACTAAATTGCATTTATAAAATCAAGAGTATTTGGTAATACTTTCTCCGTAGTGACAAGTTTCACTGATTAACTAATAGGAGATACCCATTTAAAAGACGAAATCGGAACGGTGCAATACTGTCGTGAGAAGGATTCCTCGTCGGTATCCATTAATGGAATTCAGGGCAATAAAAGATGCTGTATGAAGGATCCGGGTCATCCAGTTGTCTTCCGATCTCCACTACCAACCTATCTTCTCAATCCATGACGACGTGTTTTGTTCCGCCCCAATACCCCACATAACGTCTTATCACTTCTGATTGTTGGATGTCCATCTACCTAAAACTTTTCCAATCATTGCATACCGGCGAGTTGTGTCATGCTAGCAATTATTTTTGCATGTTTGCTGCAATTGGCCAATGGTCAATATTCAGGCATAACCGAGTCGTCGTCTGTCGATGTAACAGCATTAGAAGTAAGCTACGGAGGGAATGAATCAAACGGTGACTATACAAAACCAACAGTTCCTGTAGCTCCACCACGTGTCCCAATAAGAGATGAGCCATCACTCGGGTATCGGCCACCGCCACCACCGATAAGACGAGATGCCAAAAGTTCTGGGGAATGTTCCTTCGGTACGTTTGTTCCAATAAGACTGAGATGGCAACCCGTTTATTACCCATTCTTTAAATATTTTATCAGTAGCAAATGAAATTAAGCTAAAGATTTTCAGGAATATCTTGCATGGAATGGTATACTCCTATCGGGGGAAAATCTTATTTTTTATTATTGTAACTTTACAACGTTGACAGTAACCTTTATTAGTGTATTATATGATATGGTACAATATCTTACTGAAACAATACAATAATAGGGAGGAAATGAACAATACATAATAACTATTAAAGAATACCGAATAGTCTTTCGCTTGTACTATTGAACTGTCTTATTACTGCTTCTCTGTCAATTGAGTGTCTGACTGTATGTCGTCTTGAGTGTTTAGCGTGAGCTGTCCAACTGAATGATTTAAGTAAGCTGTGGGATTGAGTAACTGCTTGAGCTTTTTGATTTGGTAACTGACCATCAGGATGACTGACCCTAGCTCATTATATAGTAGATGTGGTTTAACATTCCAGAAACATTGGTTCAACTATTAAACTAGAGGTTCTTTACAGGAT